CCCCAAAACCCCAAAACCCCAAAACCCCAAAACCCCTTTATTTTATTTAAATTAATTAATAATAATTACTGAGATGTCTAAGAAGAAGGGAAAGAAAGACGAATTAGCGTAACTTTTGTAGTAAATTTTATAGCCTCTCCCCACCGGAGGATGATTTCAGGAGCTACCTCAACAAAGGCTGTGTCATTGAAGATCTCTCTGAGAGATTGAAGGAGCTCACAGAGGTGAATAATAAGAAACGGAAGGAATTTGCTGAGCTAACCCAGACTCTTGATACTGAAAGAGACACCCTAAAATCTCTCACCCAATACCTCCAAAATGAACTTGATAAGCTGGAAAGAGGATGTGAGGATAAAAATGCTGAGAAAATGAGAATCAAGGATGATATACAGCGTATTCAGAAAGAATATCAAGAGAAATTGGATGAATTAAGAGCTGAGAAGGAAGAAATCATTATAAAAGGCAATCAAGCTATCAATACTAAAGAGTCTAATCTCGACCAGAAAGAAGGAATCTTTGCAGAGAAGAAAAAGCTTGAACAACAGATTATTGATCTTGAAAACTCTCTTGCAGATCAGACCAAGAGAAGAATTACTGAGGTGAGTGACAAAGAGAGAGAGAAAATCAGCGCTACTGCAAATTTAAAAGACAATATGAAAGAAAAGATTGATGAGACTAAGGCAAATCTGAAAGCTCTGAACGATGAACAACTTCAGACTACTACAAGGCTGACTATTTTACAAAACCACCAATTGACAACAGAACTGGAGTATCAATCAAAACAGACCGAGAAGTTGTTGAATAAGAACAATAAAATGCAAGATCAGATAAGCAGTCTGAAGAGAGATATTGAGCTACATAAGGAGATCGAGAGTGAGCTAGCTAAGAAATTCCACAGATCACAGAAAAAGATTAAAAAGCTCAATGAAGAAGTCAAAGTATTTGATGACCAGCTGTCAGATATGAAGACTAAAGGTAAGACAAATACAAGGCTGAGTTATAGATGAGAATGAGAAGAAAGATAAAATTGATAATGCCAAGAATAGTGAGGATTTAGTCAACGTGATGGAACATAAGTTAGAAGAAATTGAGTCTCAACTCACTTCAACTACATCTAACTTTGAAGGGCTACAGATTGAATACAACAACTTACAGGATAAGCTCAGTGAGTCTAAAGATAAGTACAAGAGAGCTGCCTTGATATGTACTGATTTCTTAGAAGACATGTTAAATTCTAATCCAAATATTTTGAATGATCAGAGTATAAACTTTAATTTGGAGCTGTTAAAGACTACACCATTGGAGAAACTTCCAAAAGAGGAGAAATCAAAGCTCGTTGAGGATCTTCTAAGGCAAATTCAGCCTTATCTCAGTACTAACAATCTATCTGTAGATCCTCCTGAGAGTATGAAAATGTACGGGATGAAAGGAAAGCATTCCAAAGGATCATTCTTCTAATTGAAAGCTCAATTTTATGGAACGTTGAAGGGGTTTTGGGGTTTTGGGGTTTTGGGGTTTTGGGG